CCTCTGCAAGGGGATCTCCAGTGGCCTACTACTGGGCTTTGGGTTTCCACTCCGAAGTCCTTCAACTCATGTGGGCTGCCAGTTCCAAGGTCAAGGAAGTAGGCTGCAGAGTCCTCCCTCAGGCAAGGCAGGCAGAGTCTTCACGCAGGCAGCAAACAACAGGGTGGGTCAGCAGCAGTAAGTAGCTCAGCATCTTACTAGAGCAGGTTCAGATGGGATATGGAACTCAAGCAATGCAACGCAACAGGATCCACCAGCCTCAAGCCCAAGTGATGTACTCACCAGCGGCATGGCAAAGCAGGTCTCGAAGGAGCCTCAAGCTCTAGCTACACGATCCATGGGTTGGCTTGGCCCACAGGTAGTGTAGCTCACAGGTTGAGGCAGAAGGGTAGCTAAAGCAGCAGCATGCTGGTCTGATCATCAGAGAGCAAGAGAGACAGTGGTGGACCTGGCAGAGCCATTTATCTCTTTGCCCTCCAATCAAACTGTGACCTGATTAATCCCACATGTTCCTATTGGCCAGGTTGGCACAATAAACCTTACTATCACAGCACTTGAATTACAGACTGGCTCTATTTCATCACTACTCCTTGTGCTTCCTAAACCTAATATGGATATTGCTTTCATTTTCACCATCAGGGAGCCCTTTTGGCATACAGCCCTGGGTTGCTAGCCACAAGGTCCACAGTTCTAAACCACCAGCCACTCATTGGGAGAAAGATGACACTATCTATTCCTGTAAAGATTTCTGGTCTCAGAAACCCACAGTGACAGTTCAGTTCCAACCTATAAGGTCACTATAAATGGGAATCAACTAGATGGCAGTTGAATTTAAGTTTTTGAGTGAGTTTTTTGTCATCTTTATGAAGGTTGATTATTTTTCCTGTTTTCCCTTAGCTCTTACAGGTATCAATTTAATTGTACTCTCAATCAACCTAGTCTGCTAATCAGTTGGTTCAAGAGCTGGGTGTAATAGCCTGCAGACAGCCTATAAAACCCCATATCAAGAATTCTGGTATTAAGAGAATGATTAGATCTTATTTCTGCTACCTGTATGCTCTTAGGCACACTGGTGGTGTAGATATTATGCTTGGTTGGCAGTTCAAAACCACCAGCAGTTCTGCAGGAGAAAGATTGGGCTTTCTACTCCCATAAACAGTTACAGTGTCAGAAATTCACCAGGGGTTTTCTATGAGTCAGCATTGATTCAATGACAGTGAGTTTGGTTTGGTTTTGGTACATTCTAATAGGAGATGTGGGACAGACAGAACACCTTAAACAGCAATAAAAATAAAAAGATATAAAAGAAATTGCATCAAAGAAGGGGCAAATATTAGTGCTGACAGCAGTGCTGACCTCATGGCACTGTGAGCATGACACATTTTTCTTGAGGATTTCAATAGTATGTATTAAAATTGAAAAGCAGTGAAAACTGTGGTAAAATGAATATCCCTGTGTAAAGAAACAGTATGTAAGGTTAAGACATAGGCACAGCCTAAAATGATTGAAACAAAATTAGTAAACTAAGGAAGGTTTAGAAAAACTAAAATAATAACAAGCCTGGGTGCAATATGTCTACTGGGACCATCATTTCTCATGATACGGACAAAGGTGAATTCTTCGATGGATTCTTAGATTCTTATTAATAGTAATAATACCCTAAGGGTAAGTAAAAAAAGTACTGTTATTAGGGATTCAATTCACATATACTAGCGGGTACCAAAAAACCCCAGAATTTTCGTTATCGCCTTCAAAGTACTCTCTATTAATGTCACTTAATACATTTGTCAAATCTGCGATTCCATCTTGGAAACATTTTTAAAACTCATCTGTTTGAATGACTGACAGCACTTCCCCATGAATTCATGCAATGATACCAAATGCAGGAAAATAACAGGCCGGTAGGTCCAATGGTAGTGGAAGCATCTCCAGGGCTCTGGCTGCCATCAGCATGGCTCCATTTTGCTTGCCCACAGGAAAGTGAAGCAGAGAGAGAGAGAGTGTGTCCTGCCTCCAGGGAGGAAGAGAGGCATCAGAAGGCCATGCCCTTAGGAGGCATAAAGCTGTGATCTGATGGGCAGGCTAGACTCCACCCCTTCGTTCTTATTTATTAAGTTGACATGGAATTGTGTAATGGCCACATGCCTTGTACGCAGATTTATTTCAAACAAGCTATGTTTAAACATGTCTCTATGATCCATGGGTGGGTACAGACAAGTTCTCACAAAAAAATGCTTCTTTTAGTGTTGTTAGGGAACCTGAAATATACACATAGAGATTTGATAAATATGGTGGTTTCCAAGGGCATCTGCTAGATTAATTAACTTCACTGCAGCGAGATCATCTGAAAGGGGTCATCTTTTTCAAAGGACTGAAGTTGGTTAACAGAGCTTACTATGAAGAAGAGTTAGGCAACTGAAAACTTCATTGCTGAGAAAAAGGCTATAGAAGTTGCACAAAGGAATATTCTCCCATGTGACAACCAATATGGCCACTCATTCTTTGAGAGCATGAAAGTCTGTCTTAAGATAACTTTACTGGGAGAACATACCCTACCCACACAGCTGTTGGGATATTGCCCTTCAGACTTCTTTTGTTCCCAAAACTCAACGAGCATTTGAAAGGAACAGGATTTGAATCCCCCAAAGATGCCCAAACTGCCATTTTGATGTGGTAGAAATAAAAAACACAGAATTCTTCGGGGAAATTTTAGAGAGATGGAAACACCTTCATCAAAATGTATAGACTGTGATGAAGTCTGTCGGGAAACAATAGCCTCACATTTTGATATGTGTGTTTTCCTGGATTTTTTTTAAATTTACTCTTGCTTTTGTGAGACTCCAAACCCAAGGCCTTGCAAAGCTGGCGTTGCTGGTATGGTGGTCCCTAGAGCATTCTGAACGCACAGTGCCTCACAGAGTAGCAACACAACCTTGTTATTTGTGTAATCTGGAAAACTAACAAAGTAAACATGCTCACTACTTTCAGTATAGTAATTAGTGACCCTATGTTACTTACTAAATAACAATTTTCTTTGGAATTAAAAAAATCATTTTATTGGGGGTTCGTACAGCTCTTATCATAATCCATCTATCCATCATTGTCTCAAGCACATATATTTCCATCATTGTTTTCAAAGCATTTTCTTTCTACTTGAGCCCTTGGTATTAGCTCCTCATTTTTACCCCTCTCTTCCCCTCCCTTCCTCATGGACCCTTGATAATTTACAAATTATTATTATGTTTTCATGTTTCGCACTGTCCGATGTTTCCCCCTACCCCTTTGTCTGCTGTCCATCCCCCTGGGAGGGGTTATAGTTAGGTCAATGTGATCGGTTGCCCCTTTCTCCCCCCACCTTCCCCTTCCCCTCCTCTCAATATTTGTCCTGAGGAGTTTATCTGTCTTATGTTCCCTGTGTTTCCAGCTCTTATCTGTACCCATGTACCTGCTCTGGTCTAGCCAGATTTGTAAGGTAGAATCAAGGTCATGATAGTGGCAGGGAGGAAGCATTAAAAAAGGACCAAAGGAAAGCTGTGTGCTTCATAGGTGGACATTTTTTTTAAGTTCAGTGAACGGCAAAGGATGAAAACTCCGTGCAATGTGCAAAAGATCAGAGCAATTTTAAGAGCCTGGTTATGGCAGCAGGCAGAATTAAGTGTTTGCACTTGAACTATTGAAACTCTGTATTTTATGTGTCTCCATCAAAAGTTTGAAAAATATTTATGTCAAAGGATTTTTATCAGAATAAATGAGAGAAGGCTCATTCAAAATCTTTTGAATATCAAAGAGGTGTAGGATTGAAAATAATCATATTGATCATCTAATCCTGTTGTTCCCCAAAGCTGAATGAACATTGTAATTTTCTTGGGAACTTTTATAAATTAAACTTCCTGGTTTTAACCCCTAGATTTTCTGAATATTAAATTCTGATGATTAATCAGTATAAGGAATCATCCTAATCCAAGCTAATCATTTTACAGATGAGGAAACTGAAAGTCAGAGAATTGGATGGCTTATCCAAATGGCACATCTTAGTGATAGAAGTGGGTTCAAATTTTTGTCCTTGAAACCCTAGTTCAGTAGGCTTTACATGACATCATTATCACCCGAGCACAGGAATATTCACGAAGGTGAAAGCCAGTGACTCTTATATCTCCTTAAGGACTATTAAAGTTTCATAAAAGTTGAGGAAATAAGTTTGTATAATATAATTCCTTAAAGCGAAAATAGAATATTCGAAGCAATATGTTTGTTGGGTACAGAGATTGAAGGAGTATACACGAGTTTAAGTCTCAGATCTGTCACTAACTAGCTGTGGGAACGTGGGCAAGGAATTAAACTTCTTCTACCTCAAGTTCAAAGTTTAAATAATGATGACTGCTTACAGTACCTTACATTTTGAAAGTAATTGTATATGTTAAAATATGGTTTTAAATGCTAACCTTCTAGGGAGATATAATTATTGCTATTGTTTTGCATCACTCCATTTGGGCCTAGAATTCTGTCACAGGGAATTTGCATCACTATCTCATTGTTGCTGAAAGCTTATGGACTAAACAGAATTATTGGGATCAACTTTATTAGCTTAAGATGTCCAATAATAGAGGAATGCAATGCTGGAAATGTGATTGGGAAAAGTAACTGTAACAATTTTTAGAACTATCATGTCCTTCATGTATTTCTCTTCTACTTTACTCTCTGCAATGGCCAGCATATAGGATTATAGATAAAAATCACAGAGTCCAGATGGTTGAGTGTGAGGAGAAAGTGAACCTGTGGTCAAATACACACTACATTTAGCTATCACATGCTTTGTAAGGCCAATGGTGTAAACAGACTGTCTATTTGCCTCCTATATTCTGAACACAACTGTTTCTCATTCTTATTTCTGAGAATAGAACAAGGAAAAATAACAATAAAAAAGAACACAATTATAGACAAGACAATAAATCACAATGAAAAACTTCCAAGAGACTTTTCAGAGTCTCCTGTGCATATATCTATCTCCTGGCCCCACCGGCCCTCTTCTGGGAGGAGAAAAGCCTCTTGATGGCATCTTTCATGTCCTTATTTCTCAGGCTGTAGATGAGAGGGTTGAGGAACGGAGCAAGGATAACAAAAGTTACAGCAATCACTGTGTCCCAAAACACTGAGTAGGTGGCTGAAAATCGCAAATACATGATAGCCACACTACCAAAAAACAACAGGAACACAACAAGGTGGGCAGCACAGGTGGAAAAGGCCTTGTGGCGGCCCTCTGCCGAGGGCATCCCCAAGATTACTACGATGATCCGAATGTAAGATAGGGCGATGACCAGGAAGGAGGCCAGGATCTCTGCTGCATGAATGGCATCCACAATGATGACTAGTGATGTATCAGTACAGGCCAACTTTAGCACAGGTGTGAAATCACAGAAGATCTGCCGGATCTGGTTGGAGTCACAGAAAGGCAAGGTAGCAATCCACACAATCTCAGGGAGCACAAGAAGGAAGCCACAGAAACAGGACCCCGTTGTCAATTGAATACACAGTTTGGGAGTCATGATGGTTGGGTAACGGAGAGGATTGCAGATAGCTATGTACCTGTCAATGGCCATTGCTGTCAGAACACAGCCTTCTGTGATGCCAAGGGAATGGAAGAAGTACATCTGTAGGAGGCATCCAGTCAGAGAGATGGTCTTCTGATCACTGACCAGGTTGAAGAGCATCTTGGGGATAGTGGTTGTGGTATACCAGATCTCCAGGAAGGAGAGGACACTGATGAAGAAATACATTGGAGTATGAAGTGCCATGTCCAGCTGGACGACAATGAATATCATGAGGTTACCAGTTATGATAAATCCATAGATGAAAAGCAAAGGGATAAAGAACAAGAGACCACCGTCATGTATGTGTGGGAAAATAGAGAAGAAGAACTCAGTCACCCTTGTCTGATTTTCATTGATCATCTGTCCTGTCATCTATGAAGGGAGCGAAGAAGACAAAGAAATTATTGGAGTTAGTATCAAAGTTACCCATTTAAAATTACTTTCCATAATTAGATACTTAGCCTGACCCTTGAATCCTAAATAGGCCCAATTAAAAGTGCATTTGCTATTGAACCTGCAATTTTACCAGCATCTCCAATGGAACCACAAAGCAACACACAAATGGCATGATCTAAAAATGCTCGGTCTTGTATTTTTGAGCCCTCCTCTTTAAAAGTAGTACCTCTTGTCCAGACCATCCTCTACTCTGTCCCTTCAGAAAAAAACAAAGCAATAATACTAATAGAATATAAAGACCACACCAGAAACCTTAATTCTTATGATTTATTCATCTTGTTTTTCCGTGCAATTTCCCTCCTTGACATGTTACCTGAGACTGGATAGAGTATGCATTTTTATCTATTTGACATATTTCTGTTTGTTTGTTAGTACCATATCAGTACCTCATCAGATGGAAAACACACAGATCCCAGGATAATTTACTGCTCTCTCACTCGCTTCCCAACTCGTTCACTAATAGTTGAAATTGATAACGTTTCAGACTAAGAGTCTTGCCAGTCTTTCAACTTCCACTTGATTTATGGCCACTAAATTCTGAAAAGTTATATAATTCCTTCCTCCACATCCCATCCATCTTAACAAGGTAAGTATAAGAGCCAAGGGAAGCAGATTATTCTCAGTTTAAAAACCAAAACCAAAAAAACCAGTCTCTAATGACTATGAGAATCTTGGGGAAGATGCATCACAAACATCAGCTGTTGTCTACTATCTGAAATCAGGCAGGAATTTGTTTGAGGAAAGAAGAAATAACAAATAAAAAGGAACATAACTACTGTGTAGTCATTAAGGAAAACATAGACCAGGGAGAAAAATATGTTAATGTGGCAAAAGGCAGAAAAATCCAATGGAAAGGGCTCATAAAAGTCAACAGGGTGACTACTTTGCTTATTTCAGTTTGGATCATTCTCATTAGTATGGCTGATATCATTATTCATCAAACATATATTCATTCAATTAACACATGTCCTGATTAATCATCTGCTACATGACAATCACTACCATAAATTCATGAGCAATATAAAGGTGAATAAAACTTCATACTATCTCCTTAAAACTAAAAGATCAAAATTTCTTAAGAACATAGATCACTAGCAGTGTCTAAAAAGTTCAGCCTACAAATAAGTACTCCTGGTATAGTGAAAAAAGGTTTTGATTAGATTTTGGTCTTGGGAAAAAGCATTACCCTCCTCTCTACACACTCTTAAACCTCCACAATTCTTTGGACTTAGAACTTTCCTACTAGAAAGAAATGAACTATTATCAGTATCTGTATCTATGAACAGCACTATATTTTACCTCATGTATTGCCTTGAGTTCTGGTGTCATTCTAATTTCTACATGCATGCAATGCTTTGTTAAATACAAGATTTTACCCAGTCTGTGAGGAAATGTTACAAATTCTAATTTCATGCATTTTTATCCAATTAAAAAAAATTTTAAATCATTTTATTAGAGGCTCATACAACTCATCACAATCCATACATATATCAATTGTGGAAAGCGCATTTGTACATTCATTGCCCTCATCATTCTCAAAACATTTCCTCTCCACTTAAGCCCCCAGCATTTGGTCCTCATTTTCCCCTTCCCTCCCCGTTCCCCTCTCCCTCATGAACCCTTGATAATTTACAAATTATTATTTTGTCATATCTTGCCCTGTCCGATGTCTCCCTTCACCCACTTTTCTGTTGTCCATCCCCCAGGGAGGAGGTCACATATAGTTCCTTGTAATCGCTTCCCTCTTTCCAACCCACTCTCCCTCTACCCTCCCAGAATCACCACACACCACTGGTCCTGAAGGGATCATCCGCCCTGGATTCCCTGTGTTGCCAGTTCCTATCTGTACCAGTGTACATCCTCTGGTCTAACCAGACTTGCAAGGTAGAATTCGGATCATGATAGTGGGGGCGGGGAGGAAGCATTTAGGAACTAGAGGAAAGTTGTATTTTTCATCGTTGCTACATCGCACCCTGACTGGCTCGTCTCCTCCCCAACATTTTTAAAGGATATTTTACCTCAGAAACCTAGGACAATAGCTGGTTTCACAAAAGTTAAGAAGGTAAAGCAAGGATTGCACTGGTACCATAAAAGAGGTTTCAATGGGATGATGCTCTCTCACAATATCATGAGAAACTTACCCTTGCCTGAGATAATCTCCACAGCTACCTGCTTCTTTTTCTAGTTTGTAGATGAGGTTATAGATGCCTCTAAATCCACTTGAGGGAATATCTCAAATAGAGAGATGTCTATCTTGGGAGTTTCTTTGTAGGTGATGCAGGAACTCAAGGAAAATAAGACATCTCACTCTCCCCTCTAAGGGACAAATTAAAATAAAAGCATCACATATAAATTGAATGTTCCCTAGGGTCAGATTTCAAAAACTTTCCTCTGGCTAGGTAATCTTCTTTCTCTCTCATAAAGAAGTATAGCCTTGGGCAGTAGCATCCAGAATAGCTGTGGGAGTCAGAAGACTTCAGTCAGAATCATACTTCTCTGAAGTACACACCAATAAAAACTGGTTTTGTCAGCCTTTCACTCATCCTCATCACATTTTCCATTCCTCTGCTGATTTGATACTCTTAATACTGCTACTAATAATATTAATACATATCCATATTAATTGTAAAGAAGACCCAAGAAGGATCAATGTGTTTGAATTATGGTGCTTTGGAGATTGTTGAAAGTAACATGGCTGCCAACAAGCAAACAAAGTACAGATAAACTTCTCCTTAGAGGCAAATATGACGAGACTTCATCTCATGTGCTTTGGAAATATCATCAGAGACCAGTTCCTGCAGAAAAACATCAGTCTTGGTAAAGTGAAGGGCAGAGAAAATAGGAAGGTTTTAGACAAGATGGATTGACACAGTTGCTGCAACAATGGATTCAAACATAAAAACAAGTGTCAGGAGGATGCAGGATTAGGCAGTGTTTCCTTCTGTACACTGTTAGTCAATGGCACCTAACAAGAACAACATATTAAATGTGAAAGAGCTCATTGGCACTGTGATAGATAGATTTGTTGTGCCAACATGGCCAATGAACACATGTGAGATTAGTTGAAGGGTCGAGAGGTAAATGGCTTAGTGAGCCTCACCTCTCTCTCGCGCTCTTTGATCATCGGACGAGTGTGTGGCTGCCTTGTTTGTTCTGTGCCCCCATTTGCAAGCTACACTACTCATGGGACACCTAACCCATGGACTGTGTCGCTGTAACTTGAGGTTCCTTCAAGACCTGCTTTCCCATGCTACCGGAAGTTACATTTCTTGAGCTGAGGACTATTGGACCCTGTCATCTGGCTGACTATTGGTGACCTGCCTTGCTGTTTGCTGCCTGTGGCCGGATAGCCTAAATATCTCCATGGAGGACCACCCCATGGCTCTCAAGACTTGAAGGGCTGCTGGTGTACTAGCTGTCTCACAGAAGTGAGTTGCACTGAACCATTTGTACTGCTTTATAGATTAGTTAACTGTTTCTTATGTTATCTATCTATTTCTATAAATATATCCAAAATTATTAGTGTCCTGATTTTGTTTCTCTAGAGAACGCTGTCTAACATGGGCACAGTTCAGCATTAGCTATTAGATGGTTTTAACACACCAGTCATTCCCTGGAAAAATATGTGACAGTAGATTTCCATAAAAATGTACACCCTTGGAAACTCTCTGGACAGTTGCCCTTCCTAAATGGTTACTGTAAACTGGAATCCCCTCGAAGGCTACATATTTTGTTGCTATATATATAGTCTCATTTGGTTCTCTAGCAAATGTATAGGCTCTAGAAAGGCCACCAGCCACTTCAAAACCAAATGTCAGCTGACCTCAGAAATGGGGACATGGTTTAATCAATTGCATTAAGATCACACACATCCGTTACCACTGAATGGATTCCAACTGTAGTCTGACCCTTTAGGAATGAGTAGAGCTGCCCCACCTTTGTAATCCACATCTTTCTCCCATGGAGCAAAAGGTAAGTTTGAGCCATCATCCTTTTAGCTTGCACCTGTGCATTTAATTATTGTGCTACCATGGATCCTTCATATTAAAATGAGTCAATTTCCCATTCTATTTCTACGCCTTCTAAAAGGCTTACTGTAATTAGCATCATTGAGCCACTTTTTAGAAACGAAACTTTTATTCTTGCATTCATTCAGATCGAGAGCTCTACAAAAGCCTGTATTGTTTCATTTGTTTAGACTTTATCTCTTTAACACTTATTTTCTGCTTTTTTTCTGGAAATACTGCAAGTTTCATTGTGTTCTCTCTGCTGGATTTTCAGTCCCTTTCCCAGAACCTAATTCTCAGTTGGCAATCGGGAAATATAATGTAATTGGACTGAAAGGGATAAGGGTGGATTAGCCACTGAGGAAATGCACCAAGGACATGTCAATTTATTGGTGTATTGACTCATACAACAATAAAATGGTGTGGGTCCACTGAAATTTCAAGCATGGGAAATATAGAGATTAAAGCATATGCGGGACTATAAAATGTTCTTGGAAATTTTCATTATATTTTAATCTCATGTTTACCTGAACTTTTTGAAGACCTCTCAGTAAATAGAATAGTGTGTAGGGAATTAAGAGGTGATTTCAATAATTTAAGATAGCTAGAGGTAATTATAACAAAAATTTTCAATTTTGGAAGAGATGAAAAATGATACAGAATCTTGGGCATAAGGAAACAGGAGAATATCTGTGGATATTTACTAGAATAAATGATACTTGAGATAAATCTTAATAATAAGTAAAACTTCACCAAGTAAGCAAAGTATTCTAAATAGAGTTAAAAACATGATGATGATACAACATATTCGAATAATTGCAAGCATCATATAACAAATACAAAGTACAAAGGAAGAAGAGCAATCACTAGGTAAGAGACAAAAGAGAGGAATCTGGAGAGACATTCTTA